CCTCGTGGCCCCTTCCCCCCTATTCATCTTCTCTGTCTGCAGAAACGATATAACACAGACCAGCCTCCTGCATTGTTCATGGATCTGCAGTAAATCATTTGAAAATTTACATTGAGTAAACGGTGCAGGGAGAGGACCCCTAGGAACGGAGAGCTTTGCCGTGTTCTTCCAGAAGGCAGACTGTCCCCATCCAGGCTGTTTGTTACAGGGCTGGGGGACTCTGGAGGACTTTTTCCATCTTCAAAAGAGACTCCCCTGAGTGAGATACTTTAGGGGGAGGACAGAAGAATCAGAAACTATGGGTAAGATTCCAGGTTCTTTTGTCAGTAGACTTTGGAAGCCTTGCTTTTCCTCAGTTTCCCTATTTGTAGTGCAGATTGGATTCATCTGCAAAAGAAAGGCCATGGCTGCCTCTGGGCTTCCCCAGGCTGGGCTGGCGCTGAGGGATGGTTTGTGGGTAGCATCACTCTCCCAAGGCTAGAGCCCCAGGCTTTGTGCTCTAGGAGGCCCTTGTGGCCAATGTCCATGCAAGAACTCTGGGAGTCAGCCGGAGCAGGTCATTTGCTGTTAGAAGAGGCTGGATATTTCTGTACGGAAACCAGTTCTTAACACTGCCCACCATCACCATCACCTTTTCTCTTCTTCAACATATGCACGTGGCCTTTTGGTGATTCTCGCACTACTTTCCATCTCCTCATCTCCCTCTTGGCCATGGCTTTAAAAGAAGGGTTGGTAAATTCATCTGGAGGTCAACTGTGAAAGGCCAGGCATGTGCTGCAAGCATCCTGCTTTCTCTTAATAGCCTGCTAGGGCTTATGATGTATGGATTTAAACCCATCTTGAACACATGTGTATTTTCAGTTTGTACTTTTTTCCTTGACTGCGTGTCACATGGTTTACCTCCCATTGGGTAGACTTTTGTTATAAAGCTACCTCTTTTAAGTTCCTGGGGTAGCCCTTGGCAATTTGTGATCTGAAGTGGTAGAAACTTTCAACTTTATTAGAAACTTTCAACCTTATTTTTATTTCTACCCTCAACTTACAGATGTTCTGAGTGAACAGGTATTTTCTTTTAAATAATTCCATTCTTCCCCTATCCAACGTGTCCCTTGTTGAATGCGGAGGGTGGTTGTTACCAACACCCAATGGGAAAGCCCAGATCTGAAGTGACCTAGCCAACAGCTGAAAAAGCACAGTTCCTGTTTCAAAGCTTTTACAAAAAAAAAAATCTCCTGTGGCTTGTGAACATCTCTCATTTTGGGTCTCCCTGCATTTGATAGAACATCTATTTGGTTCTTAAATGTGGTGCCAAGTGTAATATTTAATAAGGCTGGTAGAATTTTGCAGATTTTGACCTCATTGGAAATCTTGTTCACTTTGGGAAAAAAAAGGAGGGAAGCATATTAAAATGCAGCATTAAGCCCATGACATTTTTGAGAGTAACGTTTTCATTCTGAGATGGTTATTTTCTGCAGTAGCCACTGGAATGACCACAGGAAGTTCTCCCCTCACCAAGAGCTTCCTGTTATTCTGGATGTCCACCAGCAGGTTAAAATAATCAGGGTGGGGAAAAGTTATGGATGTTTATGCAGTTCCCAGCCTGCTCCTAGAGCTTTCAACAGTTATGACCCTCTTGCCTTTCTTTGCCCTAGACCACAGCTTCTCATTCAGGGGTGATTTTCTGCCCCAAGAGACATCTGGCAATGTCTGGAGACATTTTTGGTAGTCACACCTGAGTTGGTGGTGTGCTACTGGCATCTAGTGGGTAGAGGCCAGGGATGCTGCTGAATATCCTACAATGCACAGGTCTCCAACCCCACCCCCAGTTAGGAATTATTCTCTCAAAATATCAATAATGCTGAGGTTGAGAAACTCTGGTCTAGACTTTGAGGACCTGGAAAGACGGTGGTGGTGAGGGAAGCCATTGGCAGTTTTTTAATGTGGTCCTGCTCTCTTTAGCCTCTGCTTTCAGTTCCTGCTCTGTGGAGGAGAGCGTGAGAGGAAATGATCATCATAGCTTCCATTTATTGAGTGACATGTACTAAGTGCTGGAATTATTTAATCTTCACAATTAGCCCTACTGACTACACACTCCTTGAGAGCAAGGTCCATCTCTGTTTATCTCATTACCGTACACATTATGTCTAGTACAGTGCCTGACACATGGCAGGCCCTCAATGCTTGGATAAATAGAGTAATTATATCTGATATAGATGTGAGGAAATGAGGCCTGAAGAGTCCACACAACTAGTGTTAAGTAGCAGAGTCAGAATTTGAACTGAGCCTCATGTGACTCCGGCACCAAACCACTGAATTGTATCCCTCACTTGCAGCACCAAAGAGGTTTTCTAGCTTCTAAAATCTCGAGGTTTTCTAGCCTTTTCTCCTCCTGAGGGAGGGGAAAGGAGTTTTAAAAAATAAGATAAAAAAAAACCCCAAAACACTACCTCTCTGTGAAAACTGAGGTGGAAGAAGGGCCTTATGGGAGCCTTCTCTGGCTCTGATAGGATCACCCCTTGCTCCTGAACAGGGATTTTTGGCTTTTCAAGTATTTATTCTGCACATGGGGCAACCAAGGCACACAAGTTACAGGAGACAGTAGTAGTAGATAGAAAACTGGAGCGTGGCACTGTGGATCAAGCATGCTTCAGCTCCTAGGCGCCCGCCGGGAGTCATTGAGAAAAGGGCTCCCAGAGAGCAGACTCACAGTTCGCTCAAATCCTTCCCTCCGCGAAGCAAAGCCCAGAGAGCTTCTTAGTCTTTGCGTCTAGGAGGTACAAGTCGAGCGGGACTACATCTCCCGGCGGCCATTGCGGAATTTGGCAAGGCGCAGGCGCACTGAAGCGGCGTGCGTACTACGACTCCCGGCGTGCAGTGGGCGGGGCTGGACTACATTTCCCAGGAGGCAGAGGAAGGGGCGGGAGGGGGCGGGCCGCGGCGCTGCTCCCGCCCCTCCCCCGTGCTCGCGCGGAGAGGTAAACAAACTCCGCGCCGGCTGTCTGCTGAGCCGCGGGGGCGGCGGAGCGGCTGGGAGCGCGCGGAGCCGCGGCGGGGCTAGCCCGCCCGCCGCCGCACATGTCCCGGGGCGGTGCCGGATTGTAGCCGCCTGAGGCGCCTCCTGTCGGCCGGGGAAGGGAGCGCGGAGAGGCCCCTGTCGCCGCCCGCGGTGCCCATGGAGCAGGTGCGGATGATCAACGTGCAGCGCCTGCTGGAGGCGGCCGAGTTTTTGGAGCGCCGCGACCGAGGTAACGGCTGGACGCCGTCGCCTCCTCCACCGCCTGAGCCCGCGCACTCCAGCTCCGCTCAGGGAGTGCGGTGCGGCGGGTGAGGGGTGCGTGTGTGAGGAGGTTGAGTGTGTGAAGAGGGGGTGCGTGTGTGAGGAGGGGGTGCGTGTGTGAGGAGGGGGG